CTTTGTTGTTTAAACCTTCTCCTACCTTACTTCTATCTCCTTGCAGGTCGTTACAGCATCCGTTAGCGAAAAAGTTATACCTGATGGTAGGAAAATTATCAGGGAATCTTTTAGAAAGAGAGGATTGCCTAGCTCATCTTTAAATATTTTCGAAGCCTCTTTAACGGAATCGACTCACAAACAATATGCAGGACCTTTAAAACAATAGTGATCTTTTTGCTGGGATCAGAAACTACATCCTTATCAACCCAAAGAAGTTGACGTTATAAAATTTCTAAAGGAACGACATACGAATCACTTAATTCAATTAGATCAGCGATTTCTTTAATTAGCGGTAATAATCTAGATAAAAATAAAAATATATCCAGGTTTTTTCATGCTCAGACCTACAAAACCTAAGTACGACAGAGTCTGGAATGTCGATATAGCGCTTCGTGAAATCGAAAAATGGTTTGCAATAAATGAACTGCCTATTGAACGTTTAACGGAGCGTTTAGTCTTACTTTTGGCTCTAGGCACCGCGCATAGAACGCAAACGTTAGCAGCGATTAAATTATCTAACGTTAAGCGTAATTCGGGGGGATACGAAATAGAAATACCAGAACGCATAAAAACTTCTCGACCAGAAGCTTATCAACCGTTATTAGCATTACCAGAATTTCCAGAGAATCAAAAACTGTGCATCGTGACAACACTTGATGCATATATAAAAGCCACATCCAAGGAGAGGGGAAAGATTGATAATTTTTTCCTGACTACTAAAAAGCCTTTTAAAGCAGCAGCCCCTGCAATAATAAGCAGATGGGTTAGGATCGCTATGTCTCGCTGCGGCATAAGCGAAGAATTCACTGCTCATTCTACAAGACATGCGGCAACATCGGCAGCAACCTGAAAAAAGGTATTAGTCTAGAAATTATTAAGAAAACGGCTAATTGGTCAGAAAGCTCACGAGTCTTCGCAAAGCATTACAACAAAACTATTGTTCAAACCAAAGATTCTTTTGTAAAAACGCTCATATATAACCCAGCATAAAACTGAATTTATCTTTTAGTTTATTTCTTCGCTTGGCATATAAAAAAAAATATATATATAGCTGAGAGTGCAATGCATACAAAAATATATATATATATTACATATATTTTATTTTATTTTTTGCGTTTAGCCAAAAGAATAAATGTTTATTCTTTACAGTATTTTATTTAAAAAAAAAAAAGAAATTAAAAAATTACTTTCTCTAAACCTCTACATAGTCAATCATCGAGAACGAGACCTGAAATATAATTGAACGATCAAACGATCTCAGAGAGAGATGTTCGATCGTAATTATGAAGAAAGTCTCGTTCGAGACGATCGCTCCCACCCAATATTAATTTTATATTCCCAACCCCAATGCTCACAGTAATTTTTTATTTTTTATATTAAAAAAATCAAGCTTTAAACTGTATGAAGCAGGGAAGCATGGGGCATGATGGGGAAGGGAAAGAAAAGAAAATTAGTTACTCTGAAGCTTGTGGCGCCACGTGGGCAAGTAGACGGTACTACATAGTCAATCGTCTCGAACGAGACCTTCTTCATAATTACGATCGAACATCTCTCTCTGAGATCGTTTGATCGTTCAATAAATGCAGAAACTGTGAATACTATAATTGTAACAATAAATTCATTAACTGAAGGAAATAACGTGGATTCAGCTTCTCATAGACTGATGCACATTTAGAGAAACGGAAAAACCGGAAAATAACAATAGTAATTATTAAGACTATTTGTATATTTTATTTTCCTTTAGTTATTTATATTATAAAAAAATTAGATATTTAACATTTGTTTATCATAAATATTATTTAAAGTTTTGTCCGATATTTGAAACGTATGTTTTAAAAATCTTAAAAACAATTAAGTTAAACAATTAAATTTGGCCTATATCAAGGTTAGATAATTCGTATTTATTATCATATGTTTAAGTCGTGATGATTAATTTTTATCTCGACTTAACATCTAACACAGGTGTATAAGGTAGACTTCCATTACAATGCCTTACTGACGAGTCCAGTAATGGAAGCCGGGACGAAACGCCAAAAACTATGTGATATTTTTCGTAATATAAAGAATAATTAAAGATCCAACTATTTACGGAATTTTAAATTATCATCTTCATATTTAATTGTAATTAATCAAAGTAAAAATCGGTGATATTATAATACTACTGTAGTATTTATGCGTTATGTCTGAATGTTATCAGCGCGTAATTATGGGGGGACTACATATATGTAGCATATAAAAATTCACGCATAATTATAATAAGCACTTTGATCCAGCTTTGACCGTTATAGGCGGTAATTCTTTCCTCGTTTGAATAATTTTTATATTCGAGTAAAGTCCATCATTCTCAGTTCTAAATATGTAGAATTTGAAGAAATATTCGATTTTTTTAAGATATTTAAATAATAAGAGTCTTTGGATTGATACAACTATAAAATAGTATATTTAAATGGAATTTTAACTGTATATATCTAGTAATTAAATAAACACGAATTTTTTTATCTAGTATTTATTGCATATGCACTTACAGATTCAAATCTAAGCTTGAGTACAATAGAGTTCTTGGATTCATTACTGAAAATAACATTATGGAGCATGCGGACAGACTTTATGTTTCAAACGAGCCATAATTGATGAACAAATATACATAGTTGACGAAGAAAATATTAACTTTTCTGTAAGCATATCATTTATTAGATGTTTTAGTAATTACGTACATTAAGTAATTCTTAAATTGTTGAATTTTTTGAACTATTATTTTACATATTTTACGCAATACATGTGTAAAATTATAAATATATCCGAGATTATAATATATACAAATTATTCGAAATAATTAATCTTTCTTTACTTGAGGTACCTATTCTAAGTATTTGGATAATTTAAAAATTACTTTTATAAAAATTAAAAATCTGAAAAATTATTGATTTAAGCTTTAAATAAAACGTTATCTATAAATTAGGTTTATAAAATACTGTAATAAAACGTTAATTGTAAAACATAAAATAATATTATAAAGTATAGGATTAAAAAGTTATGAATTGATTATATTCAGAGAATTGATTACATTTAGATATTTTTGTAGTACAATGTGACATTAACCATTGAGGTCTTGACATATTTTTCGTAATAAACAATGTATATAGAAGCATTAAAAAACAGCGTCTATATGTATATAATATTAAAATTACAGAAACCGTTTGAATAAATAAATAAAAATGTTTGAATTAAATAATCAACTCAATATGAAGAAGTGCCACTTTTGGTCATAGTGTTAGATGTTAGACACATATGTATATATGGGGCATTCCACGCCAAGTGGGCCACCCATTTTGCGAAGTTCCATGGATTTCGTTCATATTGCGTGAACTTGAACAGTTTGATGAATAAAGACTCTATGCCAAATAATATATCTGTAGGCCAACTGGTTACCGAACTGTAGAATCGTCAATTTTTGGGCTTTCTCGTTGCAGCGCTCTTTTCGCTTGTCGTTAGTGGGCATGAAAGGCAATTTTGAAAATAAAGTGCAGACGTATTCTTATAGAAAATTGAACGCTCTTTCACGTAAGAATATTCTTTTTTTGATCAGACCGGTTTACGATGATGTTTTTCAGTTTTGAACTTTTCAAAATGGCGGCGCGCCTAAAAAGCCGCTCTCAATTTTCTTTTAATATAGCTCAAAATGTAGCTCCAGGTCTCTACTTTGTTACTCTAAAAGGACTTAATGGCACACGCATTCGTTTGGGAGTAAGAGCTAGGAAAGTGAGGAAAATGAGTGGTGCGGCAGGGGACGGAGCGACATTGCCTCACTTTCCTAGCTCTTACTCCTAAACGAATGCGTGTGCCATTAAGTCCTTTTAGAGTAACAAAGTAGAGACCTGGAGCTACATTTTGAGCTATATTAAAAGAAAATTGAGAGCGGCCTTTTAGGTGCGCCGCCATTTTGAAAAGTTTAAAATTGAAAAACATCATCGTAAACCGGTCTGATCAAAAAAAGAATATTCTTACGTGAAAGAGCGTTTAATTTTCTATAAGAATACGTCTGCATTTTATTTTCAAAATTGCCTTTCATGCCCACTAACGACAAGCGAAAAGAGCGCTGCGACGAGAAAGCCCAAAAATTGGGTGGCCCACTTGGCATGGAATGCCCCATATATATATTCAATAATTACAAAATGTGTTTATATAGTTTGTGAATATAAGTAATCTATTATAATTTTTAAATTAAAAAGAAAGAAAGAAAGAGTACACACTCTTTCATCATATTCAGTATGATTTCATATTTTGATATGATATGTAAATTCAATGTATTTTTTATAAATAGTATTATATTTATATTATTTTTAAGAATGATTATAAATAAAATATATGATATCAAATATTATACACAACTACTTAAAAATTAAAATTATTTATCATACTCTTTGTTATAATACCATCGGAAAGAATGATTTCGTTAGTATCTAAGAATTTATTATCTAGATACTGATAATAATTTCATTGCACCATCAAAATAATTAACTCGAACTGATTGTTAGAATGTCAAAACTTTTCGTTGTTCATCATACTTCAGATTCCTACGTAATTCTTTTGATGGTTTAACAAAGTTATTTTGAGATTCGTGTATCTAGTTAAATTTTTAAACATTTCAGCAAAATTCTTTCCATGTAGTGGATACTGATACACAAAACGTACAGAATTTTTAAAAACTTATATCCGCCTATCCTAGCTTTTAGCGGATTGGATCTTCTAATGGTCATTGAAACGACCTCGCTCACTGTATGTAAAATTTACATACAGATCGATAATATTCTAGAACTAATCTCTAATACGAACATTTTCACTTTTTTAATTACGCGCATGCACAATGCCATGCAAATTTCTTCCAACCACTTTGAAAATTGGCTCACCGCGGATGTTTCCATATTAATTCTTGTGCCAGTGGTATCCCTAAAAACGACATGCACTCCAAGAACGCCGTGAGATCCGGGCAAATTAATATTCAGAATCGGATCGCGCTTCTCATTGCAGAAACGATAAGCGAGTCAGCGACGGACGCGCAAAAACCGCCATCGCCGCAGCAAGCGTCTCAGCAGCATCAGCAACAACAGCCGTCGCAGCAACAACCATCCGGCGGTACCGTGGTTGGTGGTACCGGGGGTGGTGACGGTACTACCGCGGCAACACCCACGTCCGCCGGTAACGTGCAGCAGTCCCAGCAATCCCAGCAAGCGTTACCCTCGGCCACACCGACCCCGACGACTGCCAATCCACATTCTACTACAGGAGCCCCTAACAGCAATCAGCCATCGCCTCATCCCTCGCCTCTCTATCCCGTAATACCGCAGCAGACCGGCCAGCCCAACGGCAGCACGCAAGGTAAGTCAGAATTACATTTTCTTCTTGTGTTCACGTTTGGTCGTCTTTTGTGTTATACGACTGAAAACTAGTTTGTGTGACACCGTATCGGTCGGCGATTATTATAGCAGAGCGCAAATTTACACACGGTTGTTTAACAAATTTGAACAAGAATGATAAAAAGCCGGCCGAGGCTATCTTCTATCGAATTTTGAGTTTCGTAATAGCGAGATCTAGAATCGTATTTGTTTTTCGTAAGAGATATTAAATTAATAAATGATAAGAATATCGTTCCAATATAAGCTTTCGTTTTTCTTTCTTCTCGATGGACATCAGGAATATGTAATTTGCTTGATAAAAATGAGGAATGCTAAGCATAAGACATTGTTCTGGGGGTATATATAAATGAAACTATATACGAGATGATGTAAATGGTATTGGATTGTGTGCTATTTGAGAAGGTAGATTCTATCGCGCGGTAGACAAACCAATTTGAGTAGATACACGTGGGAATTGCTGTATATCGATTGCATTTGTGCACAGACAGGGCAAATAAATCATTCCATTTCCGTTTCATCTCGTTTTTGTTATGCAATAGGGACGAGGTATTTCGATTTGTGCTTACATACAACATATTTTCGTAATGGTACTTGTAAAACGCAATCTAATTACACTGGTCGACGTGGTTTCTGTTGTTTGAGTAAAATATACCATTTCCGATGTATTTTCGCGCGCTGAACACGAATCCGGCAATGAAATTGCTCTGTCACGTTAGGTTTTTGAGAAAAGTGATGTTGAGAAGGTGGCAAAATGGACATTTTTTCGACATATTTGTGATTTTTTGCTAAAGAAGTAAATTCTTTTCCTACTTTTGTTTACGCCATCTTAAAGTGCCAACTTTTATCTTTAAAAAATATTTTTTTTAACGCCGTACGTTTTTTTACCGAGATAATCTCTGCGTAGTCACACAAAGAAAAATATTTTTGACATAAAATGTTTTTCATTGTGTAACTACGCAGAGATTATCGGTTATATGTCGGTAAAAAAAACGAACATGTTAAAAAAATATATTTTAAAGATGACAATTGGCACTCTTTAGGATGGCGTAAACAAAAATAGAAAAAAAATTTATTTTGCTTGCACAAATACGTCGAAAAACGTAAAGTTTGACACCTATAACCCCACTTTTCTCAAAAACCTGATGTGATAGAGTAATTTCATTATCGGATTCGTGTTCAGCGCGCAAAAATATATCGAAAATAGTATCTTTTATCAAATAACAGAAAAAAAGTCTTAAAATGTCGACCTGTATTATGTTTATAACTTATATCGGCAGATGTCAATTTTAACTTGCATCAATTGCTCTATGAATAATTAATGATATATGGAAATATTTAATAAATAAATTCTGTTCTATAGCTTTCTTTTTGTAGACAGTTTTTTTGGATATTTTATTTTTAACTTAACTTTTAATATAATTTTCTCGCGTTATTGATTACTTATTTTGTAATATGCATTTTCTTTATTGTACATTTTCAATACTTTTAGTTAATTATATAATATATTATAGATGACGAGAAAGAGAAATGTTATCCTTCTTTGAAAAAAGCTTTATTGTCACATAATGAGTACTTATCTCACTGAACACCTAAAATGCGCACACACAATGATGTATGCATAATCGACCTAATTACGGAACGTCAAGTACTGAGGTAACATTAATGAGTGAAGCATAATCATGGTGCATTGTATGCACCGAATAAATTTCTCTTTTTGGTCTTTTAATATTTTTTTTGGATTGATTACAATAAATTTAAAATATTAGTATCAAGAAACTGATACTAATCAGAAAAAAGACATCACACACGATTGACATTAACAATCTTTTTCTGTTTAACTGTGCTTTTTAGAATTTAGTTATTTTTATAAATGTCGATAATTATAATATTATTTAATATTTTACACAATATATGAAGTATAGGTTGTGTCCTGCATTTTACACATTTTCGTGAATTTGCACGTCTTAATATATTTTTAAAATAAATTAGATGACATCCTATGGAATAAATAATGATATACAAACGCGTCAAAATAGAAAAAAAATTAATTCCAAAATTCGATATCTCTTAATCCATTATCGACTTTTGGCTTGCAATACAAAATTCATATACTCATTCCACAGAATCTTTTTAAAAATTAATATATTGACATTTTTGAAATAAATTTAACATCTAACTCACCGAATATTGAGAATTTTTCTTAAATCAGTGATTTGTGTTTAAAATTTTGAATTATATTACAGTTCTATATGTGTATTACACGTTAATAAAAACCAATTAAAAAGCTTACCTTTTTGAAGTAGAAAAGGCGCTGAGAGTACCACCATATATGCTCCATGTAAAAAACTATTTATATGATTAAATCTAAACTAAGTGGCACTATCTTTAAAAATGTAAGTAGTAATATTCTTATTATTTACTTAATTTTAATAATACGTATTTGTATAAAAGATTTAATATCGACAACCGGCGCCAAGTTAAATTTTATTATGTTTAAAAACCTACATGATACTATCTTTATTATTTACTTCATTTTAATGACATGTATTATTTGTATAAAAGATTTGATATTGTAGAATTGGATGGAAATTGAAATCCACACTAGCGCCAGGATGCGAAATAATTACGGAGCAAGAAATGTATAATATTATTACGTCAAATATTTCTTTTAATAAAAACAGACAGTTACACAATATTGGGATGCGAGATCAGTGTACAGCGTTACGTAGCAAGAAGATAAGATGGAAGTATATCATATATCAAAAGATACAAGATGACGGTTATCTCAATTATCGTTGAAGATCGGGTGACGTAATCGAGATGACGTCTTCATGAATAGCGATGCGAAGTGTGACCGAGAAATTTGACTCTATCTAACAGATATATCAACAGCCGGCGCCAAGTTAAATTCTACCAAATTAAAAAGTAAAAGTGGTACTATCTTTATCTTTATATACAATAAAATCTAAGTATTCCTATTGAATTAATAAAAACAAACAATTATTAAACAATATTTATCACATAATTATTTTTCGTCATAGGTTTTATATGTATGTATATATACATATAATATATGTACTTAAGAGTAAAATTTATTAAATAAATATTGCGTATACAACCTTTTTATATTATACATATATTCCGTATTCTTTTTTTAGCTTAAAAGAGAAATAAGACGTAAACAAGAGAATGAAAAATTAGTTGTCTCCCAAGTAATTCAGTTTCTTGTAACGTCACGTATAAGTAACTGATGTATTGCATAAACAAGGTTATCAGATTTCTTCGTTGGTCTAAACTGAAACCGTAAAAGATACGTTAGTATCCGTACTAGTAATACGATATTATAAAGTTTCTTTTGCTAGTTCTAATCATAGCCCTTGCAGAAAACTAAACTTTGAAACTTTCTGTTATAGACTCTGACACAGCCAATGCAACAAAATTGGAAAGATAGACAAACATTTAATACTTTTATATTTCTAATTTGTTACTTTATATGCAATTGCTTAAGCCGATTTGACAAAAACAGTAGCTATGTCAACTTAAGTTTATAGATATTATAGCTAGAGAAAAAAATGAAACGTAAAAACAAAATATACTTCTTTTGTATTATTTCATTGCTAAAGTTACTCTACTGTCAAATTGATTTTTTTTATTTAAGAAAATTATTTCAATTACCATAAACTAGCGCAACACCGTAAAATATCAATTTTATTAAATATCTAATTGGGGATATATTTTTATATTTATATATTTTTTTGTTATTTGATTAAATTCCTAATTATATTCAGTTTCCACTTCTAATCTAGCTACCCCGCGTAAACACAATAAATTTTACAAAAGTATTAATACAATATATCTTTCTGATATTAAACTGATACATACTTGAAAGTGGAAAAGCAATGGTAAACATTACGACTGTTTGTATTTCATCTTCCTTTTGTTGTTCACATACACTTATAAAGAAATTAGATATTTATCATTTGTTTATCACGAAAATATAAATATTTAGTTTCATATAAATATTTTACAATGTATGTTTATATATGTTATAAATTATTGAGTTAAATATTTTATAAATTATTATATGTTATAAATTATTGAGTTAAATAGTTTATTTCAAGGCCGAATAACTAATACTTTTTTCATATATTTGAATATTGATGATTAATAAAATTTTTATATTTGAGCAATTGGTGCTATTCTTAGCTTTAAATTTTATTTGAACCTAAACATTGAATGTTAAATATTTAAATAAAATTAATGAACTTAGAAAGAGGAATAATTATGGAATACTATACTCAAATTGAATTTTGACTCTGTAGTACCTATCTAGTAACTAAACATGTACAAAACTTTTTTTTAATTTGTTATTTATTTCATATGCAGGTACAAATTCAATTTCCAGTGATATGAGTATAACGGAATTCTGGATTTTAATACATACTGAAAACAATATCAAGTAACAAATGAGCAGTCTTCATGTTTCATATGAGCTATTATTAACGAACGAACATACATTTGACGAAGAAAACATCCACTTTTCTACAAGCATTTATTGCATTATTTGAATGGACTAATGAAATATATTTGTAGCTATGGTATTTAGTTTTGATGTATAATAAACTGTAATTTAAAGACTCACAATAGATGCAGTATTATTAATGAGATGGTATTTAAAAAAAGTATGAGTTTTATTTAATTCACGATTAAATGAAGATACATGGATGCATGTATTCTACTTTATATTAACTATATGAACTTATTAATATTACAACTAATTCTAAAAAGATTGTTTTACTGACTGAAGATTTTAATAATTTAATGTATTGCAATGGCTATGTGGTAGTTCACTATACGTTTCGGAATTTTACATTGACTTTTTTCGTAAACGTAAAATATAAAGATTTTGAATGATAGAAGGTGTTATATAGTATTATATAAACACACAGATATTTGTTGTTT